TTTATTATATTCTGCCTTTTTGGGGATGTCTATTTTTTATGGCATTTAATTATTCTTCCACCTGTCAGGTAATGGCTCGAAGTGGCACTGATACCTAATTCCACCACACGACAGCTGTGGTTCAGACTCTTGCATGCACAAAATTACTATGCGTTCCAAGGATTCTCCTAGATTATTGATCCTAGCTATCCAGAGTGATGTAGGGTTGAACTGAACAACTTCTGCATCAATGAATCGTATATATATTAAAGCCCGCGTCCCAAATTGCGGGCCGCGAGGGTCAAGTTTTTAAAGCTCGCGTCTCATATTTATGCCATCCAAACAAGTGTTAAACGGTTGGAATCCGGTAACAGCAGAGTTTGTCGCACAGCACACCAAGGTAAGGGGTGGTTGGTAAGGTTGGTTGGGAAATCGCGTCGCACACTTCCCCGCGAACACCAAGCATTTACAATCTCGGAAATTTGAGACTGTGAACTCTCAACTCTGACAGTAAGCGGGGCCAAACCTGTCCCCCAAGGCTCGTCTTCCACCCAACCCTGCACACCCTGGTTTGTTTTGGCCAAACCTGTTTGGGAGTTCGCAGTGTTTTTTTCACCCGCTCGTCACATATTTCGTCATTCGTTACCCAATCAAATAGGGGCAAACCCAACCAAGTGTTAAACGGTAGGAAATTTGAGACGCGAGCTTTAAAACTTGACGAAGTTGAGTGTCCAAGCTTTTGAAAGTCACGCACTTGCAATTTGGGACTTCCGAAGACAGATTCACTCACCAGGGGGAAAACCGAGGGTTGGCTGGGTCTCGCGAAAAAAACGAACCTAGACGAAATCGGAAACTCTCGCCAAAGCCCACACCAGAAAAACTCCCTCTGGTCAACTTTTAAAAGCATGAACAATTTGGGCCGCCGGCTTTAAGACTACACAGCATGTGCAGTGAGACATGAGATTAGGATCACTGGCATGTGCCAGCTCGGTTCACCTCCACCCCTGCTACATGCGCTGTACAACTCTTCTAGAAGGGTATCTTGTATCCGTGAAATACCAGAACAGGGTGGCTTAGAGAACCGGAAAAAAATCACTGAACTTCAAGTCGTCTCAGTAAACCGTAGGTACCGCCGTTGCTGCTGCCATTGCTGCCGCAATTGACGCCCCCGTTGATGCTACCGCTTATATCGTAATCCGCCGTGTTACATGCTGTCCGTGACACTGCGTCTGCTTCTTTTTCGGATCATATCAGAAGTTACGCAGCAAACGGACAGCAGTCTGTGAGTGAACGAGAACCGTTCGGGACGCCGTCCGTCAGTGAACGGAAACCGTTTGTCAGGAAAATGGACACCGCCGGTCGGAAAAAAGGACTCTGCTGCTGGTGCATGCACACCAGTTGTCAGTAAAGGTCGCCGCCTGTAGGTGAACGGACACCGTCTGTTGGCGAACGAACACCGTAAGTCAGGAAACGGACTCCGTCTGTTAAGAAACGGAGTGAATGGATACCGTATGTCAGTGAACGGAGACCACCGATCCGCATCGCGATAGGCATTTTGACCCCTGCGATGGTGTCACGTCGTTACAGTAACACTTCTCATAAAAACACAGGACCAGGTAAGTCACCGTCAGCCAACGCGCGTCGCGGCTGTCAAGTCCCCACGCATACGCGCTTCCGCTTCCGCCGCCTTCGCCGCTAAAGCCGCTGTTGCTTCTGGAGGAAGGAGAACGCGCTTCGGGGCTTTCGGAGAGTCCGTCTTCTTGTGAATGTCCATTCGCGTCATAAATGTCCCCTCGATGTACGGAAGCATCAGGCGACCGTGTAGCGTTTGCCGCGGCGTAGAACCGATTTTGGCGTATTTCCCTGTGCAGCAACTTCGCATCGTGGCCGTTGTGGAGTTGCTCGAGGAAATCTTGGCCGTCCGTCACTTCAAGCAGCCCCGTCGCTGGAGATTTCTTTAGTTCCACGCGAAACCCCAACGCGGTGAGCTTCTGCTGCAGCTGGCTCAATAGCTTCACCTTGACCATAATTGCTTTGAACGAGAGGTTTGCGACGGCGCCGAAATAAGGGCCATAGAGAATTGTGAGAGTCGGAGGTTCTCTCGAGGAATCAACCGAGATGTTCGTAAAATCAGCGACAGCCATGGCTATCCGTACTCACAACCTCTGACGGTCCTAGAATTACTTGGAGGAACGGAATCGTGATCTTGGAACAACACGGGAGATCTGTGAATCAAGTACGTCTACTGTAAGCCCCTAAACGAAAAGACTTCCCATGACAGGAAAATTTTCGACACCGCATAGACACAATATAGTCTGTGTTCTTGGATACATCCATTCATGGACCATTACAGGGGGGACTCTGGGCTCGGGAGGAACCCGCAACCAAACCGTGTTGATGCGATGCGATGTGAATGGTGGTGGTCGTGTTCTCCTTCCCGTCTGCGTGAGGGACATTGCCAATGGTGATGTGCGATGCAATGCGATGCAATGCGATGCGATGCGATGCGAATGGTGGTGTTCTTTGTCCCATCTGCGCGTGGAGCATCAGCAATGTTGATGCAATGCAATGTGATGGGCCTGCCACTGCCATGCCATGGCATTGACTCTGAAGTTCCGAACTGACGTTGGCGAACCACTGCCACCACCACCACGATGACATCGCCAACAGAAGTTGGGGGGCCTGGTCTGGTCTGGCGTGGTTCGTTGCACAGCTAATTTATTTTCTTGACCGAAAATGACAGGGGATGCTGTTTCGCCAATAAAAACGAGTCCATGTACATGTCCGAGAGGTGAGAGGAAGCGAGTCAAACACTTCATGGTGTACGGCGCTAGCTGCCCACAGCCAAACCACGATCTTTCTCGTGGCATTTTCACGAGACATGATGGCGCCGAGCACCACGAGTTGACGGTGAGGAGGGTGGATGGTGGTGGTGTATAATGCTGCCATAAATTTCATGGCGACAATTGGTCTCCAAAGGTGGGGGGGTGATGGACGGCATGGGCTGGTAGGTTTTGTAGTTGTTTTGTTTCGATGAACTGCCCATGTATTCTTTTATTGAATAGTCGACTCTGAAATCATTCAAGACCGTGGCCATTGAACATGTATGGCCCTTACTAGCTTACACCACAATGAAGTCACTGTGTACATGCAAATTTTAGGGCGTGTGTTTTTGGTTGACGTTCGAAGTTCAGGTCGAACTTCTGCAGGTAACCAGCTTCGCGAATGTCGTTAGGGCTGTTTGCGAGTCTCGTGAATTTTGGGGAAGATTCGGAAAACCGCCAGGACAGCAGCAGACGGTCCAGTAAAGCGCTGCGCGGCGTCAGGCGCGGCGGTGATGCCAATGATAGAACTCCGCAAATTAATCTTTGTTAAAGCTCAAAGCCCAGATTGCACAAGATTAGTAATCTTGTGCAAGGTTGGGTGTTGGGGGTGGGGTTGGTGAACGCGAAGTTCTGGGGGCACCGTGTGTTTGGGCACCGAAAGTCCCGAATTGCAGAGTTGAGAAACTTGCACTGTAACCAATCGGATTGCTTCCAAAACTTCCGAAACCAATCAGATTGCTTCTACACCTTCTGTAACCAATCAGATTGCTTCACACGAAGAGACAGCACAAAAAACGCAAAGTGTGCAAGAATAGTAATCTTGGCCCGCGCGGTCCGCAATTTGGGCCTTGAGCTTTAAATTCTGTTCCAGAGGGCGATTCATGTTGAGCCAAAACCTTCTGTTGGTGAGGGACTGTGGGAACATTTGGCAGCTTCAGGCCTTCATGACAGTTTTGAGAGGAACCCCACCGTTAGCTCTGCTGCAGTTGCATCGCATTGCATGTCCTTTGATCAAGGACCCCAAGGGTGCTGGCACAGTGTCGATCCTTTTGAGAGTGTCCGACATACTTGAGGGAGCTACTGATATTACTAGAGGTTTTGCATATGGTGGACTTTAGTTTCCTTTGAAGTGCAATTGGCCTTTCCCGTTAGTTGTGTACGAACATATGCCAGGCTTAGGACCACTTGACCTTCCCCTGTACAATTAGTGACTTCATATACTGACTCACGGCTTGGTGTATGGCGAAATAGGTGTATGGTTCACACACACACACACACACACACACACACACACACACACACACACACACACACACACACACACCATAGCTGCTTGCTTCATCTAGTTACTGATGAACGTGTCCAAGTAATGAATGCAAGCACACATGTACTTGCACCACGAGCTTTACTGGTCACAGAGACAGCACTATACATTGCAATATGCAAGTCGAAACTTCAACCATATACAGTGATCCCAGCCTTCTGTGTAGACTATTGACAAAGGTGTGGCCATTCCAGGTGAGGCATACCTGGGCCCGAGACTATGCTTCACCTGATACATATGTGATATTTAACTTGCCAAAATTATCCACCAGTTCTGGTGGAGGCTCAAAGTGTATTCCATTCAAAGGAATGTCCATGTCCATTGCACACAGCCATGAGCCCTCCTTATAAGATTGCTGGACGAGAATGAGGCAAGAAATGGACGGAGGAGGAGAGGGAGGGGGGGTACGAGCGGGGAGGGGGGGTACGAGCGGGGAGGGGCGAGGTGGGGAGGGGTAATCCACTATTCGAAGATGCATATGTAAGATTACGCTCGGAGGTGCAAAGGCATTATAATTTGTGCGTAGCCGAACGCACTTGATGCACCATCCGCACGAATCTCATAACATACATGGCCAGTCTCACTCACACATCCACCCACTCAACCATCCACCCACTCACTTACTCACACACTCACTTCGCTAACCCACTCACACAATCACCCACTGCCACACACGCACACCCACTCTCACCCGCTCACCCACTGCCACACTCACCTAATTCAACATATTGCTCCCAGCATTAGTCGGATGCGCATCCCAGCATTAGCGCGGTTCAACCACACAAACACCCACATGCACAGTCACTCACTCACTTACCACTCACCCACTCACTCACGCACTCACTCACTCACTCACTCACTCACTCACTCGCTCACTCACATGACCATGCCACTGACACACTCACCTTATCATACAGCTCTAGCAGCTTGCTCCCAGCATTAGTGGGATGCGCATCCTTGGAGATCTTAAACGCACCCGACTCACCAACAGTGCGGTTCAACCTCCGCAGCACACACTCACCCACTCCCACACCTGGTTCCACCATCATTGCCCCCACCACCATTGTCCCACTCACCTCATCATACAGCTCTAGCAGCTTGCTCCCAGCATTGGTCGGATGCGCATCTTTCGAGCTCTTAAGCGCCCCCAACTCCCCCACAGCGCGGTACGACCTTAGAAGCTCCCACCTGCACAGTCACCCACACCCTCACCTCACCCACGCACCTCATCATACAGCTCCAGCAGCTTGCTCCCAGCATTGGTCGGATGCGCATTTTTCGAAATCTTGAATGCTCCTGACTCGCCCACAGTGCGGTTCAGCCTCCTCAGCACCGCCCCCACATCCTCCGCTAGATTCTCAAACCGCCCGACGAAATCAAATCGGATCTTGTCGAACCGGCACGCGTCGATCTGCGGCTGAACGTGCGACTCCATGCGGCCACGGCGCTGCTCCCTCATGAGTCTCAGCAGCCACGCGAATTCTCCAAAAGAGAAAAGGTCATTCCCTTTTTTTGCGTTCACTAGCCGGCGGAAGGGAATGAACTTGCGGAAAAACATCTGATGGGTGAAGGGGGGGGGAGAGGGGGAAAGAGGAGGAGTAGGTGAAGGAGGGGCAGCAGGGGAAGGCTGAACGTGCGAATCCATGCGTGCTTGGCGCTGCTCCCTCATGAGTCTCAGCAGCCACGCGAATTCCCCAAAGGTGAACAAGTCGCCCCCCTTCTTGGCGTTCACTAGCCGGCGGAAGGGAACGAACTTGTGGAAAAACATCTGAGCGGCGGCGGGCGAGGAGGGGCGGGAGGCGGTGAAGGGGGCGGAAGGGGGCGGAAGGGGGGGAGGGGAGGGTGGGGGGTAGCAAACATGTATTTCTGCTCTGTCAGTGCAGGTGAGGCAGCACGTGAGTCAGTAATGTATACAGTTTGCTACCAGTAACTACGCGTTCTCCCAGTTTCTGTATCAGAGGATGCATGCATTCCCCTCTCAAGAGATAGCAAAGAAACCGTCCCCTATTGTACACACTACCCTCGTTACCAACACACCCACCCACCCTCACACACCCACCTTGTTCCAGAAGTGCCAGGAGTAAGGAGAGCCTCCACCAACGTGCTTGTTCAGATATACGGACGCCAGCCGCGTATACGGGTTGCGCACAAACGATACACACACCAACACCCACCAGCCAGCACCAATCACCCACCTTGTTCCAGAACTGTCTCGAGTAAGGAGGCCCGCCCCCCACATGCTTGTACAGATGCACCGATGCCAGCCGCGTGTATGGATTCCGCACAATCGAGAACTTGAAGAAGTCCGGGCGGGTCAATAGCTCAATAGCCCAGTGCTCTGGGAAGTGGTGGTATGCTAGGGTATCCACATTCCCCTTCCCTTCCCTATACAATCCACCCACCCTCGCACACCCACCCACCTTGTTCCAGAATTGCCGGGAGTAAGGAGGCCCCCCACCAACGTGCTTGTTCAGATACACCGACGCCAGCCGCGTATACGGGTTCCGCACAAACGAGAACTTGAAGAAGTCCGGGCGGGTCAGCAGCTCAATCGCGCGGTGCTCTGGGAAGTGGTAGGCGAGGATGCGGAGGCCTGAGCGCGCCTTGTCGTGGGTGAGAAACACGTCTGACACGTTCGCCTGGCCTTGTTGTTCTCGGAACCAGGTTTTCCATCCCGTGCAGGCGACCTTGGGGACGAAGCAGTAAATTGCTTTAAGATTCTCTGAGGGGTAGACACGAAGGAGAGACAGGAGAGGGATCCCGGGAGATGGGTAGTGAGATGGGAGGATGCGGAGAGGGATTAAGGGAGATTGGAAGTGGTGGTAGGCGAGGATGCGCAGGCCTGAGCGCGCCTTGTCGTGGGTGAGAAACACGTCTGACACGTTCGCCTGCCCTTGCTGCTCCCGGAACCACGTTTTCCACCCCGTGCAGGCGACTTTAGGCACGAAGCAATAGATTGCTTTGAGATCCTCTGGGGGGAAATAAAGGAAGAAGAGACAGACGGGCCAGAGGCGAAGTGGGTGGGGGTTGGAAGGGCGAGGGGTGAGAAGCATCATCAACCCAGTCACTCGGTGCTCAGGGAAGTGGTATGCGAGGATGCGCAGGCCTGAGCGCGCCTTGTCGTGGGTGAGAAACACGTCTGACACGTTCGCCTGCCCTTGTTGTTCCCGGAACCACGTCTTCCACCCCGTTCAGGCGACCTTGGGGACAAAGCAGTAGATGGCCTTGAGATTCTCTGGTGGTGGTTATGGTTGCGGGGGAAGGGGCGGGAGGGGGCAAGAGGGGTTGACGAAGACAGTCACACAGGACACGTTCGCCTGGCCTTGCTGCTCCCGAAACCACGCCCTTCATCCCATGCAGGTGACTTTAGGCACAAAGCAATGGATGGTTTTGAGACGTCTCAAACCAAAGCAATGGATGGTTTTGAGACGTCTCAAACCAAAGCAATGGGTGGTTTTGAGTTCCACTGGTGGTGGTGTGGGTGAGGAAGAACGGGAGGGGAAACGTAAGGGGCGATGAAGAAACATTCACACACGACATGTTGCTCTGCCCCCTCACTCACCGCCCTAGGCCCACTATTGCACGTGGCAGCACCGTAATTACACTCAGCTACACGGGTTACCTCACAACAGCCCCCCTCTCTCTCACCATCCACTATGAACTGCCGCAGGAACCGCTGCTTCCCGAACGACTCAGCCTTGGGAGCCTCACAGACAGTTGGCGCCACAGAGAACGGCACTCGCCGCACTGAGAACGACCCCTTCTCTGCAGCACCCGCAGCTTCTTCACCACCCATTGCTGCCTCTGCCCCCTCTGCTCCCTCCCCTTCCACTCTCCCATCCGCTCCCCCTGCTCCTCGACTCCCCCTCTCCCCCAACCTCCTTCCCCCTTCCAGCCCCAGGATCCCCCTGGCAGTCCCGGCGGCGGCCTGGGCTCGGAGGAAGCGGGCCTCGAGAGACGCGCGGGTGTGGATGAGCGCCGCTGCTGCCGACACCACCCACGCCTCCGCCGCCTGTAACTGCGCGCACAGCGTCGCGTTGAACTCAACGCTGCTGCTGCTGTTGCCAGCTGAATCAGCCTTCTTGCTACTGCTCTTGCCTGAGAGGCCAGAAGCCATGCCCTCCCCACCTTTGTCCTTCGATCCCTCCCCGCTTCTCTTCTCCCTCTTCTCTTCTGATAACAACCTCCTCCTTCCCTGCTGCTTCTTACTCCGTTTCACCACCTCTCCCCCCCCTTCCCCTCCTTCGTCCCCTTCTCCTCCTTCTCCCACTCCGCCCATCTCGCCCTCCCCTTCTCCAACCCTCCGTTCCCCCTCCCCCTCCCCCTCCCCTTCCGCCTCCCCCTCCCCATCTTTCCCCCGCCCCCTCCCCTTCCCCCCTATCTCCCCAGCGCCACCAGCAGGGGAGGGGCAGGCGCGCAGGCGGGCAAGAGTGACGTCCAGCAGCAGGGGGGCGCGGAGGGGGTGGAAGGTGCGCGCCACTGCAGCTGCGTCTGCCGCCCAAAACGCACTCATGGTGAAATCCACCCGCCGCCTTCCCTCCCCTGTGCGCCCCTCTCCTCCTCCTCCACCACCTCCTCTTCCTTCTCCTTCTCCTCCTGCTGCTCCTGCTCCTGCTGCTGCTCCTGCCGCTCCTGCTGCTCCGGCTTCTGCCGCTGTTCCTCCTGTTCCTGCTGGTCCTGTTGCTGCTGCCCCTGCTTCTCCTGCAGGTGCCACCTCCCCCAGATACTTCCAAGCCAGCGTGCGCAGCGTGCAGTTCAGAAGGGGGTCCTCCGGACAGCCTGGACAGCTGCCAGGTGGCAGCTCCTCATTGGCCTGGGGATTCGTATCATGGGGTGGGGGCCATCCAAGAAAGATGGGCATGCAAGGATGGCACCAGCACTGAGAGCACTACGGCCTCCTTAGAGGGGCATAGCACCTCCTTAGAGGGGCATAGCGCCTCCTTAGAGGGGCATAGCGCCTCCTTAGAGGGGCATAGCGCCTCCTTAGAGGGGCATAGCGCCTCCTTAGAGGGGCATAGCGCCTCCAGCACCAAGGATGACTTTTGAGTCGACTCAACTGACTTTTGAGTCGACTCAACTGACACCAGCACTGAGAGCACTACGGCCTCCTTAGAGGGGCATAGTGCCTCCAGCACCAAGGATTTGAACTGGATTGGATGGGTCACTCTGATTTCAATCCCTACTTCCTCTCAGGGCACTTATTCCACTCTCCCTCGCTGCTCTCACCTCGAGGTACACAGCGGTGGAGCAGAGGAGCCTAGAGAGGGTGGAGGCGGGGTGGGTGCGCATGATGGCCGCCACGCCTGCTCTTTCTGAGTCAACTCAACCTCCTCGCACCCTTCCCCACCGCACAGCTCCTTTCTGCTCCCTCGCTGCTCTCACCTCAAGATAGATAGCCGTAGAATGGGGCAGCCTAGAGAGGGTGGAGGCGGGGTGGGTGCGCATGATGGCCGCCACGCCTGCTCTTTCTGAGTCAACTCAACCTCCTCGCACCCTTCCCCACCGCACAGCTCCTTTCTGCTCCCTCTCTGCTCTCACCTCAAGATAGATAGCCGTAGAATGGGGCAGCCTAGAGAGGGTGGAGGCGGGGTGGGTGCGCATGATGGCCGCCACGCCTGCTCTTTCTGAGTCAACTCAACCTCCTCGCACCCTTCCCCACCGCACAGCTCCTTTCTGCTCCCTCGCTGCTCTCACCTCAAGATAGATAGCCGTAGAATGGGGCAGCCTAGAGAGGGTGGAGGCGGGGTGGGTGCGCATGATGGCCGCCACGCCTGCTCTTTCTGAGTCAACTCAACCTCCTCGCACCCTTCCCCACCGCACAGCTCCTTTCTGCTCCCTCGCTGCTCTCACCTCAAGATAGATAGCCGTAGAATGGGGCAGCCTAGAGAGGGTGGAGGCGGGGTGGGTGCGCATGATGGCCGCCACGCCTGCTCTTTCTGAGTCAACTCAACCTCCTCGCACCCTTCCCCACCGCACAGCTCCTTTCTGCTCCCTCGCTGCTCTCACCTCAAGATAGATAGCCGTAGAATGGGGCAGCCTAGAGAGGGTGGAGGCGGGGTGGGTGCGCATGATGGCCGCCACGCCTGCTCTTTCTGAGTCAACTCAACCTCCTCGCACCCTTCCCCACCGCACAGCTCCTTTCTGCTCCCTCGCTGCTCTCACCTCAAGATAGATAGCCGTAGAATGGGGCAGCCTAGAGAGGGTGGAGGCGGGGTGGGTGCGCATGATGGCCGCCACGCCTGCTCTTTCTGAGTCAACTCAACCTCCTCGCACCCTTCCCCACCGCACAGCTCCTTTCTGCTCCCTCGCTGCTCTCACCTCAAGATAGATAGCCGTAGAATGGGGCAGCCTAGAGAGGGTGGAGGCGGGGTGGGTGCGCATGATGGCCGCCACGCCTGCTCTTTCTGAGTCAACTCAACCTCCTCGCACCCTTCCCCACCGCACAGCTCCTTTCTGCTCCCTCGCTGCTCTCACCTCAAGATAGATAGCCGTAGAATGGGGCAGCCTAGAGAGGGTGGAGGCGGGGTGGGTGCGCATGATGGCCGCCACGCCTGCTCTTTCTGAGTCAACTCAACCTCCTCGCACCCTTCCCCACCGCACAGCTCCTTTCTGCTCCCTCGCTGCTCTCACCTCAAGATAGATAGCCGTAGAATGGGGCAGCCTAGAGAGGGTGGAGGCGGGGTGGGTGCGCATGATGGCCGCCACGCCTGCTCTTTCTGAGTCAACTCAACCTCCTCGCACCCTTCCCCACCGCACAGCTCCTTTCTG